TTACGCTCGCGCAAAACCCCCCCCCCCCCAACACACACACACACACACACACACACACACACACACACACGGGATGACGCCAACCCCAGTCTCCCGCCCCAGCCCTTGATGCAAAGCGTTTATTTATGCAAGCCACGCCCTTTATGCAAAACAGGCCAGCTCCCAGCCTTTCCCTCCCAGTCCAACTGGAATTCCTCCGCAGCCCAGTTGGAAGGTTGGCTGGGAAGTTGGGCTTTCAGGAATAATCAGACACCCACCCACCCCCAGCCACACCCCCACAAAGAGGCACAGAGGATGATGCAGGTAGAGCCTTCTGGGGAAAAAGTAACTTTTCCAAGCTTTCTCTTCTGGGGCCGAGAATGTTTGCAGTGGAAGAAGGAAAGCCCCCCCCCACCTTCATGAAAATCCTGTGCAGCAGGGTGCATGGTTAAACTGTGGAACTCACTGCCACAAGACAGGGCCAGGGCTGTGTGTGTTTAGGTACAGCAGTGATTTTTAAACAGGGGGGGGGGAAGAGATGGCCTGCTTGAGATCTAAGCCTTGGCGAAACAGATGCCAAGGGCCCCCGTTTGGCATCAACGGCCTTCAGACGTTCGTCGGAAACTCCAGAACCCAGGGATCTTCTAGAACCTTAATTGTATTTTGAAGAGTTAGGGGCCTCTTTATAGGAAGGTCGGAGCCCCTGTTTTGCACAGGGATCTCCAGGAGGGATTAGGAACGGATCCTGCCCCAAACGGCCTACAGCGAAAGGTAAACTGTCACCTAGAATCGGCAACGTAGGCCCTGCAAGCTGCCCTTTAATGCAGGATCCAGCAAATTTCCTTTTTAAAAAAAAATATTTCCGGAGACGGGTTGATGCAGCCGACACCAAGGCGTGGACCCTTCGCTCAGAGGGGGAAAGCCTCCTCAGTGTCTGGGGGGGGGGAATCCCGTGCACGCTCACGGGCCAGGACGGAGGGAGGGTGGCGCCGAAAGGGAGACACCGAGAGCAGAGCCGTGGCCTCCACTGGCCACCAACAGCGGCTTTCGCTCCCCGAGCCCGGACACAACACGCAGCAGACAAGGAGCTCCAAATGATAAACTCTCTTATTTAAACTCTTTTTTTCCACCCTTCTCCCCACTTCCCAACAAACAATGCATAGACTGGGCCGAGACAACGCGCCCCCCCCGTTGGCGGCCGGCGGGCGGGGTGTCTCCCATCACGGTCCCTCCGAGTGCCCACCGTGGCCCCCGCCGCCTCCCCGGACCGTGCTCGACCGCAAGGTGCCAGGAGCCCGCAGTTCACGGCCGTCTCGGGGAGGCCGGCTTGGCCGAGCGCCTCCGCTCCTCCCGACTCCGGCCGAACGTTTTGGTCCCTCGTAGCGCCGACGCATCCGGGGGGGGCAGCGGCCACAGGGCCGACGGGCGCCCTCCCCAACCAGCGGGGCAGGTTTGCAGCTGGCGCGCTCACTTCCGCCGGCCAAAAATGGATTTTTTCCCGGGGTTCTTGTCGCCGACGCTCAGGCCGATCAGCAAGCGGGCCTTCTCGTCTTCCTCCTGCTGCTGGAGGTGGCCCTCGGATTTACTGTCCGGTTTGCCCCGGGACTCGGCGCCGGCCGCCGGCTTGAGCCGCAGTTTCTCCTTGATGACCTGCAAGGAGGAGGCAGGAGGTTGGCGCACCGGAAAGGTCAAGAAAGGAAAACCAGGCCTGGCAGCGGCTTAGCCACTCCTCGGCCATCGGCCTCACTCTGTTTTATATAAACTTACAAGTACGGGAATGTCGGAGTATTAAAGGGGTGGATGGTCTGGAGCTCCTTGCCTGGGATCTGGAGCTCGGAATTTCCTCTCTTTAAAATGTCAAGACAACAAGCTTGCCCGCAGGCAGGGGATTTTAGGGCACCGTCGACCCAAAGCGGATCTTGGAGAAGTTAACTCTTTTTGTCGGTAACTTCTAGCATCCCTGGAACCAGCACGGCCGGTCTTTTGGACTGGGCTTCCCAGAGATGACCAGGCTGGTTGGATGCGTGGGGGGAGACAGCAGGCTTCGTCCCCCACCAACAAGGAACAGATCAACCCACCCCTCCTCGGCTACTTCTTGGCTCTTTTGCCCCCTTGGTTGCCTACGGCGAGCAGAGAAGCTGCTCCAAGCGAACCTGCGTGAAGCAGCCGAGGCCGGGATATTTCGGGGCTTTGCTAAGAGAGCGTCCCCCGAGCCTTCAGGCGGAGCAGAATAACCCCCCCCAGGCCCCTCCCAGGCCCATCCAAATCCTACCTGGGCCACCAAAGCCTTGCGACTATCCCGTTTCACCGCCATGGCGAAATCCAGCCACGTCCACGTGTTGTTGTGATACTCAAGGCACGGAAGCACCAGGTTGAGATCTCCCCAGTCCACGCTGTTCTTCTCCCCCTGGAGGAGAAAAAGGATCAGGTACGGCACTGCCGGTCGGGGAGGGGGGAAGACCCTCTTATTCCCACTCTTTCTCTTCCCCCCCAAAGAAAACCTCTCCCACTGTTGGTGACCACAGAGCAGAAAAGCTAAACTCTGTTTTTTCTCGGCTCTGGTCCTGCTTGGAGGCTTTTCTGATGCTCCCCCTAAGCAAGCCCAAAAGTTGGAAGAACGGGGCACCCCCCCGGCTCGCCCTTTGCCCCAGATCTGCAGAGGGGACCCCCCCTCGCTGCCCACCTTGTAGCTGACGCAGAGGGGCACCTGCGGGATCTTGATGTAGATGAAGGAGTTATTCATGGCCGCCCGCTCTTTCATTTTGTCAATGTCATCCACGGGGTACTAGAGAAGGAAAGGAGGAATGGCCGGAGACGGCGCATTGGGGGGGGGGCTCGCTAAAGCATCTCCCGCCCACTCCACCATCCGGGGGGGCATGAAGCAGGCCAGCCATTCCTCCCACTCCCAAAGATTTACACCCACAGGCCTGTGAGGTCGGTCGGGCAAAGAGGCAGGGAGGAGGAGCCTGGGAAAGTCACCCAAAATACGCCCCCCCAGGTCACCTGTGCGTCTCTCTCTCTCTCTCTCTCTCTCTCTCTCTCTCTCGGGAAGACATAGCCCCAAACACTGGCCATGCTGACTGGGGGATTACGGGGTACGTAATCCATAAAACGGCCCCTGTTGACAGTGACCCACAACCACTCTCCCGAATCCTCCATCCACAGCCGCCCCTCCCCCAAAACATGGTGCTTGCCTCGGGCGCTTTGCGGAAGGACCGCCGGACGCCGGACGTGCGGTTCAGCCCCTGCGCCATGCCTTTTCCCGGACCCAGGGCGTCGTCGGAGACCATCAGCTGCCGTGGCTTCACCACCGGCATGCCTGCAGAGGGCAGGGAAAGTCAGGAGCGTGTGTGTTTATGGGGGGGTGTCCTTTTCATAGCCCCCACCTCCCCACTAAAGTCTGCCTGCCAGGAAGGACGCCCACCCCCCCAGAGCAGAGGAGCACACAGGGAGAGGCTACAGGCAGGCTTCCTTGGCGCACAAGAGATTCAAGCCTAAGGGGCCATCTTCACCCATTTCAGGATCCCCCATCTACCCCTCAGAAAAGCTGCCCCCTGTTCTGACAGCTTTGTGGTTCTGCCTTCCCTCCTTGCAGGATAAAGGACAACCCACCAAGATAAAAGATGTGCAGCATATTTTGGTACTCTCTATACAAAGCGTGGTCTCTGGCTCCCTCTAGCAGCCAGTTCTGGTAACTTCACCTTTAGAAATCTACATTTCTGGGATTTTTCTTTTTATATTTTCCAGACCAGTGAATTAGCGGAGGGCCGATCCTACAGACATGGGGGTCCTACTGTATTTAAAGAGACTCTCGGAGACTATTCACAGCTTTAGGGGTCTGTGCGCGCATGGCTCACACACGCGTGTGGGGTTGAGCGGAGGAGGGATCCCGGCGACGCTCACCCGTCGTCACCAGCTTTGACTTGTCCTCTTCGTCTCCCACCTCCTCCTCTTCCACGTTGCGCCCGGGGAAGAAGAAACCCATCATGCGGTGGAAGAACTGGTGCGTCAACTGAATGGTGAGGGGCACCACGTTGACCTGGAGGGGCCCAGAGAAGAGGGAAAGGAACCCCCAAACGTCGATCAAGGCTCCGGTCGCCAAATCCGACCCGCTCCCTGTAAATGCGGCCCCCCTTTCACAGCCCCCACAGCCCAGCTCACCTCAAAATGCTCCTTGATGGAAATGCCCCCCACCGGCGGCCGGACTTTGCTGAAAATCCTCAAGGCCAGTTGGCGACCGGACTGGCAGGCGCTTTGCGGGCGGAGGACCACCTGCCGGGGAGAACCGGCGAGGTGACCGACTGGGGTCGCCCACTGTCCACCGTCCCACCAGAAAAGGATCATTGAAAGCGAAAGGAGGACACGGAGCAGGCTGGGCCAAGCAGACCCCTGGAGAGGGCCATCGGCAGTCCTTGGGGGTAAAGGCGCTCTGCCCATGCCCCGAGAAAGCGCTCAACCCCAGGGTGAAATCACGGGGGCTCTTGGTTTTCAGGCGGTCCGACACTGCTTCCCCCAAGGGGAGGGGGAGAGCGAGTGGGTGCAGAGAGAGTGGAGGGGTTGCTTAGCTCCTGGGCTCTTGGCTTTCTGGCGGTCCGACGCTGCTACCCCCAAGGGGAGGGGGAGAGCAAGTGGGTGCAGAGAGAGTGGAGGGGCGGCTTAGCTCCTGCCCCCCCCCCGATAACTCACCTTGTAGACAGCATTCGGGAGCAGGTTGTTCATCGTGACCCAGCCCAGCTCCAGAAGGTGTTCGGCCGTGTCGTCCGACTTGTTGATCTGCTCGAACGACAGCGGTCAGCCAGCCCCGGGGAGGGGGGGGGGGGGAAGGAGGGAGGGAGGGGCAACCAGGCTGAAATAACTCATTGCAAGTGATGGCTCTAATCAGTTCCTCCTTCTCCAATCATTAGGGCATAAGATTCTCAATGAACAAGGGGCAGCTCCTTTTCACAGTAGTAACTAACCATTTAGTTACTTCATGGTTAGCTAGTTACATCCAAACTACGCCCTTGCTTTGGAGGCCTGGAAGCTGAACTAGTTTTTTAAAAGGCACTTTGCAAGTTCTGAAATGTTGCCCCTGCGGGTTCTGCCCTCCCTTCCCCAGAGGCCAACGGGGGGGGGGACATGGAAGAGTGGGGGGGGGCAGGAGGTTGACTTTTGTCCCTCCTTCCGGCCTCATGGCAAGTAAAGCCGTGGCCCCAAAGGATCGGGCCCACCTTGCTGTAGAGGAAGCGCTGCAGTTCCAGCTCGGCGATGCCCAGCTGCCCGTCCTCCTCCGTCAGGCGCCAGCGGGCCTGGGCGAAGTAGAACTCCGTCCGCCGGGCCACCCCCACGTCCTCCGGCTGCTTCCGCAGCTCCATCTTGTTGGCTCGCTGGAGCTGGAAGTCCTTAAAGCACCTACGGGGGGAGAAGGCGGCAGGGGAGACCCCTTGGAGACGCGCCCGGAGAGGATGGGGGGAGAGCAGGACTTGGAGGGATTTGGGGAAGCGGCAGGGGGAGGATAGTGCCGCCTGCAGCCGCCCACATTATCGGCTTCTNGCATTATCGGCTTCGAGCCAAAGAGGCAGACAGAACCCCAAAAGAGTTTCGAGCCTATGCAAGGCCTTTGCCTTCGGGAGGCCAGGAAAGAAGGCTCCCGGGGGGGGGGGCGTTTGCTGGCAGATCCAGACTCCAAGCCCCTTTCGCCCCCAGCCCATAAGCTGGCTGGGGACGATGGTGGCTTGTAGTCCGACACAGGAGGGAGCGGAAGCAGGAGGGTGTCGGATCCCACCTCGTTTCCGAAGGGATACCTGATGAGAATATTCAGCTCCTCGCTCTCCTGCTGCAGCTCGGCTTTCTCCCGGCTCAGTTGCTGCTGGAGCTTCTGGTTGTGATCCAGCAGGCCCTCGTTCCGGCCATCATCCTGCAGGGACTGGCAAGGGAGGGGAGGGGCGTCGTCACCGCCGGGCGGCCCTTCTTCGCCTCCCCACCCCCCCCAAGGGGGCCCCGACGGGAACAGCCCAGCAGGCAGAGAGTCACCTTCAGGACCGTGTACATCTGCTTCTCCAGGAGCCGGATCTGGGCCACGTGCTGGCGGACGGCCTCCTGGAGGTGCAGGATGCTGCTCCGCTGCTCCTCGGGGTTGCTGGAGATCTCCAGCTGGAAGCGGACGCGCTGCTTCTTCTCGCTGTGCTCCTGAGCGAGGAACAAGGGTGAAGCAAGTCCCCGTTTCAGAGGGAAAGGGGTCTCGTCTTCTTACCCAGACGGGTAGCCCCCCCCCCGACCTCCGTCTCACCCAGCAGGCCTCGCAACCTCTTGCGGCAGGAAGTTCCCGCCTCGATGTCTTTACAACCTCCCTCTGCTCGGCGCCCATCGATGACCCGAAGTTTCTAACCCAGTGCCAGGGTCTGACCCGGGAAGGAGCATCGTCCCTCTCGGCAACTGCCGGTAGCCCACCATTGACGGCACGCCCAAGAAACACACACACGCACGGCCCAGGCCTCCCGGCGGGGGGGGGTCACCTTGCGCTTGGGCTCCACGTGGAGGAGGAGGTTGTTGACGATGTCCAGGATCATGGCGTACTGGGCTGGATTGGTGGAGATCTCCAGGTCGTGGTGAATCAGGGTGAAAGTGTCCACAGCTCCTGGAAGGAGAGGAAGAGGGAGGGGACCGGGGGGGGGAGAGACGCCGGTCAGCCACAGCTCTGGCCGGGAAGGGCCGTTACGGGCGTGAAATCTCGAAGGGAAGACCCGCGGTTTAAAATGAAGCTCACAAGGCCCGTGAACCTGGGTTCAAATCCTGCTCAGACCTGGAAATCCACGGTCAGGAGGGCATGGCACTGGCCAAACCCCTCCCTGAGCATCCCCCTTCACCTACAAAAAAAACACGAGGGTCCCCGCAATTGGGAAGCGCCTCATGGGCAGAAAATCCCATTGGCCCAAAGGGGTGCAGGGTTTAGCCAAAGTTGCGCTACATAGGTGGAACGAAAGGGGTGCCAGCGGAATGAGCCTGATCCGCCAGCGTGGGGTGTCCTGCGATGCTTCCCCTCCTCCCCCGTTTGGCTGGTCCCCTCCCCCCCGAGCCCCAACACACACCTTCCTGCTTCTTCAGCAGGTCCTCCTTCTCCGGCTGGGCGGGCAGCTCGGGGGGCTTGATCTGGGTGGCCAGCTCGGGGTCGATGTCATGGCTGTAGCTGATGTAATACATGCGGCAGCTGCAGCGCGAGATGATGCGCTGGACCTGCTGGGTGGGCCGGACCTCATGGGGCTGGTTCCAGTCTGGTGGGGCGGACGGGCAGGAGAAGGGCCGAGGCAAGACAGAGGGAGAAAGGCAGGCAGGCAGACGGTCAACCAGCAGGGCCGGGTTGGGCAGAGAAAGCCTCAGGACTAGAGCAGGGCAGCCGGACGGGGTGGACCCCCCCCACACCGGGGTAATACCACCCAGGGGTGAGAGCAGGTGCCTGCTGGAGGGCCCGGGTTCAACACCCCCCCTCCCCAGTATCTCCAATTTGAGGCGGGCTCCTTTCTGTCCAAGACCCAGCCGCCGGCTTTCTGCTTCTCTTTCTCAGAAGCCAAAGGATTCCGTAAACCTTTTCCGAGACGATCCTCCCCTCCCCACCCCTTTCTCTCCGGTTCTGCCAAAACCAGACAGATGCTCGGCTCCTCTCTGGGCCCGGGACGGGTCAAGCGTGGTGCCTCGTGATCGTGGGCTGACCTGTGGTGGTGCTAACCATCCCGCCCACCGCCTGCCCGCTCTCCATCAGCTCCTGCACGGAGTCCAGGCTGCGCTGGCGATGCTCCTCGATGTTCTTGACCTGGAAACGGAGTCGGAGGGCGGGGGAAAACTCTGAATGGGGAGGTTTGGGGGGGGGGAGATGCAAAACCGGTCCCCGCCTGCCTGCCTGCCTGCAAGAGAGGGGCCACCCGATCGGCCCGGAAGCCGGAATTCCCTCTTGGGAAGGCGGAGCGCAAGGAGGTTAAGATTCTAGTCCACGTGATTCTTAATAAAGAGACAGTTGAAAAAAGAAACACCGGGAGAGACCTTTTTAAAGGACAGTCCCCTAGTCAACGTAAGCTCAGGATTAGGGCTACTTTCTTTGGCCTGCTAAAGATCCTGACTCCCGGCTAGCATCCCCAAGTTGGAAAAGGCCCCGGGGAGGGCAGG